CTGCATATGGCCTCAAATACTAGTAATGTTGAAATAATAATAAAATAATTTCGTTATGATAGAATAATCTAACGATAACCAAATCAAAATGTAGACACGACATATTTATTGCGAAATAATGACATAATAGAAGAGTACGTTAAATATGGTAAAATAATAGTTAAATAATGGCATAAATAAGGTGCAACGAGACCGAATAATGATAAAGTAATGACATAAGAAGTTTGAAATAATATAATCAGGACATTCCCCCAATATTGGTGAAATGAACACACAACATTAGCAAATAATAATAATAATAATAATAATAATAATAATAATAATAATAATAATAATAATAAGTGAGTATATTGAATATTATTCCGCTCTCAAATGCGCAAACCGTAAGATCAAACTTATTTATATTATTATTTAAACAAATTACAAACGAAACTTCATTCAAGGATTTCTGGTATTATGTAATCATCATGTTATAAATCCAGTTATAAATTTATTTTTAATATGTTTCTCAGCACCGGAACATATGTGTACCGACATCCATTAAACGTCAGAATTATATAGAATAGTGACAACGACGGTAAATAATCGTGCTAGCTCTGACAGCTCTGCCTGAGATGACAAAGAGTGCCATTAGTCACGTGAGCCAGAACGGCACTGCGCGAGATCTCGTCATTAAAGGAACATCCCCTATTGTATTTATCTGATAATTTACACAAGTAATAAGCACACTATTTCATCCAAACTAAATAATATAATACTAGTAGTCATTGTACAAATAACAGGTAATTATTCCTAATTACCCATTCGCAAAAATATGAACTCAAATTATATGAGGCATTTTCCAAAACATGTTTTAACCTTGCCCGTGCTTGAATTTTGATTCATATACCATTTATTACAAATTGAATTCTACCAGATAGAAGCTTTTTTTAGATTTAAAAATAAATGATAACAGGTAGATTGTATGCAGGCAACAAAAAAATATATACGTATAAATAAAAAAAAAACACAGTAAGATATCTCGACATCACATAGCAATGTAAATTGTGCTCCACTGGTTGTAACTAAGATGCACCTAGCCACAGAAATATTTTAATTAACAACTTCTATAGTTGTGTAATACAAAAGTTACTTGCTCCAAACATGGATGATGTATCTAATGATTTTCCGCTGAACCATCTTTGTCTAGACATCCCGACAAGGAAAAGCAATTTGAGACATTTCGACGTTAAATGCCCAACACTTATTTGTGTCAGACTTTCAAATACATGGGTTTAATATTAAAATACGATTTAAATGTTTAAAACTGAACATCCCTAAATAATCCCCAAACATCGTATTCGACAGGATTTCCCCCCAATTGATAAGATATGGATGCCAGCAAGGTTTAGGCTGGGATAAACCTCATTCAATTAGACGGTGCGAACATATGTTTCGTGTATTAATACCGCACGTAAATCACACAGAAATAAATGCATATTTTACCGTTACTCAAATAGCTATAGTAATTGTACGAACGGGGTAGAATCGAACATATGACTGATATAAAAAAACAGAATTCTAAAAAAAAAATCAAAGAATTTTGTTATCTCTTCGCCTGAACGAACCTTGCTTCGAAACAACACGAAATACACTGAGCGTGCGATGATTGTATGGCGTTATCACAGGTAAGTATCTGCGAGTAAAACATGTTTTCCATTAATCTGAAATCATGACCCTTTTTTAGATGTTCACTTGATACACTCTAATCGAACGACCTGATGAAAGAATTATCTTTGATCAGTGTATGAACCAACATCCATTAAGAAATGTGGAACAGTAGTATGTAAACGTAAGCAAACGGTCAATGTCAAATCAGTGTTCTTGTCAACCATGGATCCCCTCAAACATCGACACATGTTCAAATAAAAAAAAAAAACAGTTTTCTGTGTGCATTGTACACCAAGTCCATTGTTAATTGAATTATGATTATTGAATCATCCTAGCATCTTTTAATACAGCTATCGCTTCAGACTTCGAGTCGTGTATAAAGTAGGTGATGAATCGAAAAGGAAAACAAGAATTCACGTGAGTTGAGGTTTGAAGTGGTCCGCTTGTCAGGTTATAATCGCCAAGTGTCGATGTCATGCAATGCATTATTCAAAGTGTTCACGGTATTTTCACTTCCATTTGTCACCAACCAAATCGATGTAATAATATGAGACATACCCTGAAAGAAAGCGTGATAACAGAAAACGAACAATTTCCGGTTTTACTCCAATTATTCCCCGCGTTAGTGGAATGCACAAAGGTTGCCATCTTGAATTTGTGAATCGGTCGATATACCCTACTTTCATGTCCAGTCACATACTGATCTCAAGCAATGTTATGTCCGGTCTGCAACATGATCAGTGATTTCGGTAATTATCACTGATTTTAACTTTTAAAATCATTGTCAAAACTTAAACACACTACTTGGAATAAACTCGAGTCCATATTACGCTGCTGTGCGAAAAAGACATTTCGATTTTTGCCACTGCGTGGATCACGGACGTATTCGCGCACGTGGATGTTCCGAGAACTTAGCAGCCCACGCTAAAATGCACACGAAGGGTTGGGAAACATAGTTGACATGACAGTTTCTGTGAATACAAACTCCAAGGAGGCATAATTTATACAGGATCACCTGTGACAGCGCTCACACAGAAATCTAACTGTAACGTTTTAGCAGAGAAATCAATGCGACCTACTGTCTAAGCAGCAGAAGTGATATACACATAATTTACTTTTTTCACAATTAATGTATTTCTGTTAAATTATAGGAAAATACAGAAGTGTTTAAAGTGTCTATTGACGTGGATATTTGAGGAATCGGAATGTGCATAGTTTGGTCTCGCGGGGTTACGAGAATGACATAACTCATATCTCGGTAGATGGGGTACTAAGTCGGGATGACCAGCGCACAATTCCGGAATACTACGAGCATTACAGTTTATGTCGAACAACTCTGTAGAATGTACATAGAATTTGATAAACCAACAAAAAATGTGAATTGCTTCTTATAATTTCTCAATATTATTAATATAACTTAGTTGTAAATGGTCTCCGAGACATAGTTTTTTTTTTTTGGGGGGGGGTTAGCTTATCGACTGGTGTTCTCTGACATCATCACATCCGCTGTTAGAAATACAACGGAGAACATTCGGCGCGATCCACGGAAGAGAATATTAAAATAAGCACTGTTTGAATGAAAAAAAGTCGCGCTGTCACTCACATACAATTTCAGTTGCCATTTGCGTGTAATGGTATATTACCAGGCAGGGGATGAATGATAAAGTACGATGCCTGCACTGCCAATGCGACTTACTATTCAGAAAACAAAAAATGTCTATGATCTTTGTGAATGTCGCTAATCAATTATGCTTCGTTGTATATATGGCACAGGTGCGCCAGACTGCATATTTCACTTTCTACACAATCGTGCTTTTTAACCCCTATACGTATATATACACACAGACACACAGACACACAGACACACACACACACACACACACACACACATATATATATATATATATATACTGTAGAAGGGTTAATTATTAACTGGGTTTTATTTTTGCTTATTTCGCTGACTGGAATATGCGCTAAATTAAAACCCAGTGAATATGTAAAATTTAGCATAGAACACATTACCTAAATGATAAAACTGTGAATTTAAATCCCACTGAATATGCCTGAAATGGTAAATCAGTGAAATTTAAACCCAGTGAAAATTAGTCATTTTACAGTATATATGTATGTATGACGCAGACTCTTCATATAGTTTGAGTCATCATAGTGCTAACCACCATCCAAGTAACTCATTTTAGCGACATGTTTGCTCCGTACCCGCACGTAAAATTGCACCACTTTTACGACGTGTGTTCTGATGCCATAAAGCGATAAAACCAATTCGGCAGTACGCAGTAAAGCACACGAGAGATTTGAGGTCCTTAAGATCATATACTGCTCCGTAACTTTGGGTTTGTACAATCGTTCCGTGTCACGCCGTTTTATTGTATTATTTTACGAGCGCAATGTTATTAATTGTGTAGTCTGAAATTACTGTTAGTATGTAAATTTACCGCGTGAGCCACTACGTAAATCGCACATACCGGTAAATACTATTCTTGGAAACTTCGATCGAGAATGAAAACAAACAAACATTCACCTGAATTCTATGACTCATTATTTCAGCAGTCTAATATACTCGATATATAGAGTATGTATCTCATTGGTTCATATGGATATATGGTTACTTTCACTTCTGCCTTGATGGTCTGACGAAGCGGAACCGCAATTTAGGGTTCAAACCACGAACATTCATCAGCGGTTCTTTTTTTTCTTCAAAGAGATCACTCATGATGATCAACAAGCCCACGTGACTTTCAGATAGATCTCAATTTACCTATGATTACGGAAGTATCCATGCGATTATCTTGGATGGTTATCTCAGATCATTAGTTACGTGACGTATAGCGCTTACCATGACAACTGTGGAATGAAGAATCATACCCAGACATCATTTGCTGACAAATCATATGAAATTTGTATATACAATTGGTGGGCTGCTAGGGGTTTAATAAAACTCAAAGAGTTCTTGTTTAGTTCGATACAGTAATGCAGAATGTTCAATTGTAAAGTTAAATTATAGCTCACAACAAGGGAAATGATGAGTTGTATCCTTGATTCTGTACTGGCATCACTAAGTTCTGTTTATGTATTCACATAGTGTATACATGTTCCCAAACTCAATTCTTGACTATTTATTCATTTTAATTGTGATTTTTCATTACTTTACAGCGCAATTTTGGTAATAAGTATATGTTGCTGTGTTGCGGCGCATATATCATTTCCTCGACGGAGACCAATGACTGTAGACAGCGGCGTGTGACGTCGGAGCCTCCGTGGTATATATGTGAATACGAACAGAGCACACCAATTAGAGTGGGGATTACCGATACCTAGAGCGTATCACCGCCATGCCGCACATAAACTATACAGCCGTCGTCACCATGGTTAACTCGTCACTATTAAATACTAACAACTGGAACTGTGAGACGGTTTTGTGTTCGACGGGGTCCTTACTACCTGACGATCTCGGACCGAATGCCACTGACAGTTACACCGGTCAACATCTGGGCCCAGAAGCTATAATCATCCCAACTATATTCGCTCTCATTTTCATTGTTGGTGTGATTGGAAATGGTACTTTAGTACGCATTGTTATTATGGACCCTTCGATGCGAAGTGTACCTAATATATTCATAGCAAGCCTGGCTATGGGAGACCTTCTACTGTTACTTGTATTCGTACCTTTCAACGCCATTACCTATATGACTACGTCTTGGCCGCTCGGCGAGGGAATGTGCAAAGTCATAAACTGCGTTCAGGTGGCCAGCACCGGTGTTTCAGTGTTTACGTTGACGGCGTTGAGCGCCGATCGCTACCAAGCTATTGTTAACCCGATCAACAAGAAGGCCACGGACATGGTGCAGCGTACATACACAGTGGCGCTTTTGGTCTGGGTGATATCGATCATGTTAGGCATTCCGACATTAGTGTTGGCAACGCTGGTTGAGTACGAAAACCTCGATGGTACGACTGTCACATACTGTCAAGCTATTCCCATGGGGATGACTGTCACCATCCAGCTACACACCGCGTTGATGTTTGTGTTTTTATATCTGGTGCCGTTGGCCATCATAAGCGTGTACTACGTTCTCATTGCCATTAAATTAATCGGAAGCACGAAACGCACAATCGGCGAAAGTCTGCGGAACGAGAACAAACAGCTTCGTGCGAGAAAACGCGTTGCCAAAGTCGTGCTCGTCTTTGTCCTTATATTTGGAATATGCTGGTTACCATATCATATTTTTAACATGATGTTGTTTTTCAGTAAAGACACGAGGTACATGGAAACGTACGGCATACTCTTTCTCAAATTCCTGGGCACAATCATGGCTTATGCCAATTCTTGCGTAAACCCACTGGCCCTTTATTTCTTGAGTAACACGTTCAAATCCTATTATAACAAATACATCTTATGCTGCTTCGTGAAAAATAAACCCCGAAACGGCCCGGCGAAAGAATACAGGAACAATAGTTCTTTCAAACGTTCGCCTAGCCGTACCCTGACACGACTAACGCAGCGGACGATGGTATATTCTGTTTAAGTGCATTAATATTCCAATCAGCTTATGACCAATTTCGATGATATTAAGAAGTTTAATTACTATACATTCATCTAAATTAGTTTAGTGTTTTAAATATCATATGACGGGGTTGTTACTAATTTGACTAGACATAATGACACACAATCATACTAAACAGCGTCTTCGTTCCAGCAACCGTGATTTGTAGTTTTAGTATCGGTGAGATCCAATATAAGTAATACATGTATATACTGAATCTTAAATAAATTATATTAAACCATCAAAAGTGCCCTCATGACATGAAAGAGGCGACGAAAAGTGATAAATCATTTCGATTCATGTTTTATGGTAGTGTGATTACGTAAATTATTTAACATCGTGCAGAATTAAAAAAAAATATATTATTAAGCACAAATACATTAACTTTAATAGTTAATTTGGTAGTCACGGTAGTAAATATCAAAAATGTATTTTACTTTTAACTTGACTGCAATGTCCATTCCAATTTAACGAAACGCTGAAATTAGCATACGCGTTTGTTTTGAAAGAATTGCGCCTGGTTATACTTCATTGAACAGAGCAAACATAACACTTTATTGTATTCAGTGCGAAGGCTCATGCATTATATATTAACGATGATTGTATTTTAGGCCTCGCTGATTTCTGATAACTTAAGTTTGACTTTCATTGCGTATATACGGTTGAATATACTCACCGCTTCTGTACTTGACGGACTGTGTCAATGAGAACACGATCAACATTCAATAGAAAACAAATTGCATTTTAATATTAATTGAGATCGTTTTGATTGCGAGAAGCCGGAATCGATCTTGTGTGGATCAGCTTATAAGGTTAGTGGCGGAGAATTTGATAAATCCACCACACCACAAATATACACAAACAATCACTAATCATAAAAAATGCGTTATTTTGATCATGGGAATGTTTCAATACAGACAGCGAGCGGAAAACAAATCACCACTATTAATGAAAGCATATATATATCATAGCAATGTTACCACAATGCAAAAAATGTTGTTACAAGTATTTAGTCAATTCAAAGGTAGTGCTACTAACTGAAAGCAACAGTGTGCATGTGTGTTGGCGTTACCGCTTGTGTGATTTCACTTCCAAATTATTTTGCTAGATGATTGTAAAATATCGTGCATTTGAACCGCAGTTCCAGACTTCTTAAGATACATTTACTTTTCACGGATGCTCGGGAACGTTAAGATATGGTCTGCATTATGAAATAAGTAACTGATTAAAATTCAGGCTCAATATCCGGCATGTCATTAACAAAATTACTGCATTGTATAAATTTATAATTGTAATTGCGATGGGGATAACCATCGATATATTATATATTTTTCGTGTCATTGTTATATTTCAGGACCCTACTTTTTGTAAATAATTTACGGACGCGTTTTTCAAGACATCGGAAGAGAATACGTCTTAGATGAGTTTTGTGTAAGAAAAAAAAAACCGCCATCTCTCGTGTATCTGACGAGTTTGAGTACAGAATAGTAAATGATAAGAATACAGTATGAGAATATCATTTCACACGGACAAACATTGTAATTGATCGATTGTACACAGGGAATATGCGACTCGCGTTCTCCATACTGTAAGATGATGGGACACTGTTTAATTTCTGGTTAAAGTCATCTTAATCACTGAACTGAAGCGACAGAGACGTACATTAATTAGCGTTGCTGCAGGGACAGGTAGTGACCGAAGTGACCCTTTCTCAGATGGCAGCTATAATTGCCATTAACTGACCTACGTTTGTTCTTGTACGTTATCAGGAAATCCAATACGCCAAAAAAAAACTTGCTTCGTCAAACAACGCGTCACGTGTGGCGCACACGTATTTAGCTGCGCAGTTCGACTCAAGGGAATCAGCGTGAACATTCGATCGTGGATAACGCAACTTGTGGATGGATCGCGGTGTGAAAAATGTCAAATGTTAGCACATTTTTCTGTAAATAACATATTATATTTCGTATATATATGTTTTTAATTTCAAGACTGGACATTTTATCCATATGTCGCGGTGACTTTTCTAGAACGTTATCTTGCAGGATATGTTAATCCTCACATCCGATATATTTATGAAATTGACGATCTATAACCGTTACGTATATGTGATTTCGTTTCATTATTGCATATATCCTAAGGAAATTAAGTTTTTTTTAAAAAAAACGTGTCTGGTTACTTTGTAGTGTGTGTAAATTTAAAAACAAAACAAAAAAGCACAATCACAACCTCATGTAATTAAAACGAGGTAACCGTCACCTGCGCATGCGGCCAAAGCGTACCGCTGTTCACAAACGAGCGTCTACCCATGAGTCTTCGCGTTTTTAGCGCGCGTTTTTATCGTTGTTCGTGATTCAATTCCCGCGCGTGCGCAGGTGACGAGCTTTCCAACTTAATCACAATTCACAGGGTATTACCACTAGATTTTAAATTCAAAATTCTCATTAAATGTAATTGTATATATCTTTATAATCATACATTAATCTTTGAAGTGCCATGTTCATTTGAAATAACATTTGCTAATATTATGTAATGAAATTAAGTTACTGTAGTTTATTTAAAAATATTCAAATAACTTATCATGTTTTTTGTTTTACAAAACTTTCGAGTATTTCTACATTTCTCACCTTATCAATGACTATTTGTCATTGACACATTTACTATTGTTGCCGTATTTAAATGATCCACACGCATGTTTTTTTTTTCATAGTTGCCCTGTATGATATTAAGTTCGACATAATTGCATAATTGTAATCAGTAATTTGATACGTCACATCACTGAAATATAACCTCTTCTTGAACAATAGTGTTTAACCGCTAACTGAACGATACTGGAAGTTTTTTTCGAAGAATTGTATAGTATACGCCGCCATTTTAACGACACGCTTTCTCTTTAGACTTTATGATCGACTTCTCAATGTTTGTGGAGTCATTTATTTTGACGCGAGATATCTGCGTTGCCTTATCTTTCAGATCGGGAAATGATCCCAACAGTTTACACACATGGCATTAACGTTGATGGCATTTGATGAGCCGTTTGTTTTACCGTGTAATCACGTCGATTGAGATCAATACACATGCATGACGTCATGTCATTTAAAACCCTCAACCCGCTCCTTAAACGTGCATAGCTTTACAAATCATACACTATATACTTCGATGCGGCGCATATTTCACTTTTAACTTCAGAGAATTCCAATTTGAATCTACAAGCGAGAAATGTAAGGCTAGCGCACGAAACGGCGCGATGCCAGTGTGTTCACCCGTACGTGGCATATGTGACGTTAAAATACAAAAATCCATTGCATTTGCACAGTGTGTATTTAATTTGTATTAAGTGCTGGCATAACAGTGGAGTCCGCCAGGTGTTTAAATAGCCTCTTTGTATGCGCTTCACATGTTGTATTGTCAGTTCGTATCTATTGATCCGTAAAGGTGTGATTGAACTATACAACCTGTATTGCAGCTCCAGCACTTCTCAGCAACATTAAAAAACGGCGAAGTTTGACAGTATGTAGACTTTATACGGACGTTATGAATTGTATTTAAATACGGAGACATGACAACTAGAAATCTTAGTATTTATGACGTTGCATTTTTTCTCAATATTAAAATTATGTGTTTTCCGCCATAACATGTGTTTGTTATATATATATATATATATGTATGTGTGACATATACTTCCAACTGACTTTAGTTTATCGCGTTCGATGCCTACATAAGATGAACAAATGCGCAATCAAAGTGGAATACGAGCTCACAAAATAAGATTCAATCAATGAAACGATTCTCCATGGATTTGCCGACGCAATTTTAAGTGCCCCATTTTTAGTATTGGCGCCTAGAATTAAACTAATAATTTGCAAAATACATTCCAAAAGACTCTGTGAAAAAATATATTCGCTCGTACATAACGATTAAAAAAATGAAGCCATACGAACATCTACACAAAGTATCGGAGTACTGATAAATACAAAGCGTTTATCGTTCATATTTTAATGTAATACGTACGAGGCAATATTGATTATTCAAATATTTGTTATTTATATTATAAATCTGTACGTGTATGTCAATAAGTTACAATGTAGAAAATGTAATTTACATAAAATTCAAAATACTATTTAACTACGAGGGCGCTATTTCCAAAATGGCGATTAAAGGAAAAGTGGTACAAGCTACGTGTATTGCGAGATACATTGTGATTTTAAACGTTCTTATACCACAAGATGAAAAAGTAGATATTTTAACACAAATACACGAAGACCGAAATAATGTAGTGATAAGCTTGACTAACTTGATTTGTACATCAGCGTGCAATTATAGGTAGGTACTGTATACACAAAAATAATAATATGTAAAGATGTAAATTCTTTTTGAAATGTACGATTTAAAAGCGCTTTACTTTCAATTACACACATGTCACGATTGTAAACTTGTTGGTATATCACTTTCTGAGTCTTATTCCAGATCATCCAATACCATACTAAGTATTTGATAATTTTGTAAGCCTCATTATCATACATATGTCACCGTAAAGTTACAGCGTGCCTTAATTGTGCGGTATTGAACTGATCATTTTCATCCTACCATATTAGGAAATGTGAATTTCAAATATGGAGTGATTACGCGTAAGCGTCCTCTACTGATAAAAACAAACATGGCAGCCGCCAGAGTTTAACCGAACTCTACACAAAGGAGTTCGCTAAATCTGTTCTAAACGTTTTGGATTTTGGCATTCCCATGATCTATCCTTGGAGGGAAAAGATGTCTTATAATAGCGCAAAATATGTACTCAGTACTACCGCTGTACTGTCTTCGTGCATATTTTTCGGTATCCTCGTAATAACCTCATATTATAATTGGATATTTTCCACATAGGAAATCACCCTAGTGTGATACTATTTTGTACTGCAAATCATATTTTTGAAACATCTCTCGTTACTATGGAGCGATTTTATTAATAATAAACAGCTTATACTTTT